GCGGAGGATAGGTGTAACCGAGGTGCACCCACGATCGCTCGCGCGGCTGCATTCTGGACGAGTTGAAGTCTCCGAATACTCTTCAAGGGCTGCCCCATGTAGAGCGCATTGCAGTAGTCCAGTCTTGAGGTCACGAGGGCGTGAGTCCCTGGTGCAGTAAACTTACATTTCTGTTCGAGGCATTCTTAACAGACTGCAAGGTCATAAGATCAAACTTTGAGCGATGTAATATATACCTTCTCTAAAAGACAAAAACTCCCAAAGCAGGACCAGGAAATCCAAGGAGAAAAACCACTGCACACTTAACTCCAGCTCTGCTCGTATTATTTTTTTTTGTTTTGAATTTTCTGGAATGAGCATGGACACATGCAACTTCAAATGAGTGCAAATAGGGATACAGCTATTTTAAAAGGGGTTCCATGAATACCTAATATATTTAGCTCATGAAATTGTTTGCTGTCTGAAGGAGTTTCCGATATTACATGTTTCCAGTATTACATGGAAACCCCCCAGATGATTTCTGCGTGGTGATATACACCACGGAGCAGTTGAAATCTAAACTTGACTTCCCAAACGGTTGCTCCATCTCAGATGCAAGTAAAATTGTGTCCCCGGTGCACAATGGGGTGTTTCTAAAGGTTGCTGGCTCCTGAACGGCGCATGAGTGCAAGGCCCTACCTTCAGCCCTGTTCAGATTCCCCAAGAGAGGCTTCAGCTCCTTCTCATACACGATGGCGCTGGCGGTGTGGCTCTGGCGCAGATGCCTCCACGTTTGCTCCAGCCGGGCGATCTGCAGATTCACAAAACGGGAAAGAAGCATAAACAGAGCTGCCCGCACAGCCTCTGCAGTTCAGAAGGGAACGAATGGCTTGGCCAGGTACTTAAGCTCTACTTTAATAAAGAAAGAGACGGGGATGTATATACAGTAAATATTTACATTTCGGTAGATTAAATGCATTCCATCCTTCGTTCCAACAGCAACATGTGGACTGAAACCAGAGCTAGCTTTGCTAGGTGAGCTGTTTCCGATCAAGTATCTGAACTCAAACCATACTTTTCCATCTTCTCTGGGTGGTGCATCTTAGGCGTGTCCCGACAAATGCGCGGACGACAAAACCGCGCCGACAAAACTGCGGCCCTAAAACCACAACGTCATCAACGCAACGTCATCAACGCGGCGACAACAGCGCGCCGACAGAAGCGTGATTTAAGTTAAGATAAGGGTTAGGGTTAGGGTTAGGTTTGGGGTTAGGGTTAGGTTTACAGCGCGCTGTTGTCGCCGCGCTGTTGTCGCCGCGCTG